GGTAAGAAAGTGCTAAACTCTAATACAACTGCAACAAATGTCTCCTGGTCAAATGATTTGACTATTAGTTAGACCTTTAAAATTTCATCTTCATAATCTTGAAGGCCGAACAACTTATCTTACGTTCGGCCACACTGCATAAGGCATCTCAGTACAGCATAATAAGCACGTGCAGTTCTTGTTTGCAAAATAAAATTGGTTTTATTTGGAGAAGCTGATTTTAACCGAGGTTTTCTCATATTTTACAATCGAGTCTTTGGCTCAAGTTCTCTTATATGATGGCATTTGGATGGGAGGATTTCAGGGAGAGATTTCAAATTCATAATAACAAATCCATGGAGTTATTTAATCTCATTTGAAGTCATTTTAAATCCTCATAATCCGGAATTAAATCAATTCATTTCAAATTATTCAATCCAAAATGAATCCTTATAAGTTGACTTAAGGAATCCGAGTTAGCTTGCACCAGGGGCATTTTTGGTATTTCATTTTTTCTTTTTCCTAATAAACAATCATGCTTGTAAACTTGATACTTACGTATATCACGTAAAATTTTGTTGAATTATCTTTATTACTCTTTTGCTGTCTTTGATTGCCTTTTCGATGTGTTCATTTTACAACAATTTTAAGAGCACCAGTTTTTGGGTTTTTTTTGTTTTGCTCGTCTAACCATTGTTATTTTCTGATAATAAACAGCATCACAATCTATTACTTTGCAAAGGAAGAAACCAACCGAAGAGTCGTTCCATTATTTCCCGAAACCTACGTTCCCATAAAAGTCCCATTCCGAAAAGGGCTTCACCAAGAATTCAGACAGCCCTCGGGAACAGGCATAGACTTCCGTTTTTTCCCAATGGAAGATCTTTCTCATTCACCATCAAGATACGAGGTTTTTCCAATCGTAGTATCTGCAGATACTTGCCCAACTCCATATATAATAGACGAAAGAAGCTATCTTTTGTCACATACATTTCGACAGATGCAAATAACTCAGGTTATTGTGGGGAAAAATCACGAAGCACAGTTCACTGCTAAAGTAATCAGGCAATTACTGTGGACTGGCGATGTTTGTTATGAGCTTCGCGAGATATATGGATTAGGAAAATCTGGCCCGGGAAAAGATTGTGTGGTTTGCATGACTGAACCGAAGGATATAGCTTTGCTCCCATGCAGACATATGGTAAGCTAAAGATTCTGAACTATATACTTTTTTAATACTTTGTAAATTCAAGATTATGCATAACTTTCTCACCCGACCACCAATTTAGCTGATTCGAGTTGGGTTAGAAACCCAATTCGAAGGGCTACAACTTTAATGTTATGAGTTTTTTCAGATTCGGACTGTAAGATGGTTAAAATCACGTAAGATGGTTAAAACGACGAGTTAAGTAGACTTATTCTCGGTTAGGGCAGTGTTCATTCATTCATTCATTCATTCATGCATTACTCTCTAGTCCGACATCCAATCTAGCTGATTCGAGTTGATTAGAGGACTACGATTTTGGTGGTTTGATTTTAGCCAAATTTCGAACTGAAAAAGGGTTCAAAATTACATTTGAAGTCAGAACAATACTAGTAAAAAATGAAACGACATCTAGCACATCTTAATACATTGAACATCATCCGAACTGAATTTTTCTTTTTGTTACACTATAGTGTATGTGCAGCGGCTGTGCAAAGGCGCTGAGGCTTCAGTCGAACAAATGCCCAATCTGCCGAGAAACTATTGAAGCGGTTCTGGAAATCAAGATTGATACTATGGACTTCAGTCACAAGCCTTAATCATTTTGGTATAATTTTCTGTTTTTCTTTTCTTCATTCAACTGTCAATATTTGTCGTGGGTTTTTATTTCGCCTCTTTCGTAGTCGAATCCAGATTTATTAGACACTACTCATCCATAGATATCTAAAAATCCCAGCACGAGACTTTTTCCGTGGGCACACGAAATTAGTCGTTCGCCATAGTTAGCTCACCTACCTACCCTCCATCGGTTTTCAAACAAGTTT